GTTATTGGGATGCAGTCAGCACCAGTAATGGCCTTAGTTTGGGTAGAGGATCATCCTGTGTCTTGACGGACAGCCAATCGGATCTTGCGGCTAAGAGCTGGTGAAGTTTTTTTGGGTCTACCACTTGACTTTTTTGTTCCATAACCCTCAGGATCATTTAAAAAATGTAAAATGACTGTCTCACTGCGTCAAACCTCAGCAGCGATCGCACGCTGTGAGAGGCCTTGCTTATGCAGGTCAACAATCCTACCACGTTCAAAGTCAGTCAGCTTTTTTGCTTTTGCCATCAGGAGGTCTTGACAGTGTGAAGACTTGACTGAAAACGACATGGAATCCAGATATTTGCACAGCTTTTGGCTTTTAAAGACTATGGTCTTAAACTTTTGATCAGCTGAAAAAATAATGTTTGAGTGTAAATGCAGTAATCAGAAAATTCCACGGTCAAAAGTTCTTGTCTCTTGCACTGATTTTTTCCTTTAAGCTCTACTTTGAACCTTCTTAAGATCCAATAGTGCAAAATGCTAATTCTTGCAATATTTTTTGATTGGTTTAAGTGGTTAGAAATGGTGGAATAAGAAGGCCGGGATCACAGAGACCCGTTTATCAGGACCTCCCTTCTGCTGCTGTTTACAGGCCCTCCTCCCATCCTTTGGTCTTCAGAGCCAACAGAAGCATCAACTCCCCTGCTGAGGATAAGAGGGGCGGCTGCAGCTCTGTCTCATGCCTGACCCAGGCTGGGGGTTAACACGGCAGATTCAGCATAAACACCCAGAGAGCAGAATGCTAATATTTATTCACCGTATTTGTGTGAGAGCGGATTTAAGCCGCCATCATTTATCTGGAGATAAGCCCTTGTTTGGGAAAGCTTTAATCAGCTCAGATTAATGCTGCGGCAGAGAGGCCATACCTGTAGAAATAAGAGCAGCCCCGCACACTGTTGTGACAGAAGTGCTCCTGGGTCTTCTCTGAGCCGTAGTCCTCCCCCGGGTCCGACCAGAGCAGGTCGCACATGGGCCCAAACGCTGGTGGTTCCTTAAAGCGGTCAAGCTGCACAGATTATTAAAATGGTTATTTACAGAAGCAATCAACAACTAAGGGGCATCTCCATCTGCATCTCTGCTGAAAATAAAACTTTATATCAGGAAGGCTGTTGTTCTCCTGCTGTTCCTGAAGTAGAAGCTATCAGGCTCTCTTGGAGTTTCAATGTTTCTCAGTTAAGGACAAACTATACGCTGTTTGATAAAGCTTCTAGTTAGAGTGGCTCAGGTTATCCTGAGCTATCTCTATAGTTCTGCTGCTATAGGCTTAGACTGCTGGAGGACATAGGGACCCCTTTTCATCATTCCGCTTCATTCTACCTCTTTTCTCCCATCCTGCAGTATGTGTTAGATCAATCTCTAACGTTCTGCTCTCCTGATTTTTCTCATCATAGTAGCTTGAATTGAATTTAACTCCCTGAAAACCCAAACTGTTAAACGTTTCCTCCTTTTATAACATTCTTTCATGGATCCTCTTTTAGCCAAACGCATCCCTTTCTGAACCAAACCTGTTCGGGATGATGATGTAGAACAGCACCTTCAAAGTTAACCATTTACTAGGATGTCAGAACAGGAGAGGCTTTCTAGGTCTGCATCTAAACCACCGTTTCAAAAAGTCCAAAACTTAAACTTTAGACCCAGAAAAAAGTAATACACTTCAAAAAATTGAAATCTGAAATGTTTACTGGAATGGAGGGGGTAAGACACTGTGCCAATGGAAAAAACAAATTTGCATTTAAAATAAAAACAATTGCATTATCTTATTTTAAGAGGTAAAAAACTAATTTACTGACAAATCAACTTATATAGCTACACGAATTAAGGGTAAATACACTTCATTTAAGACATTTTCTCACATTTCCACAGCTAAGTAGAATTAACACCTTTCAGACCTCACGGACCATTGATCCGTCACACAGTCTCACCTTGCGTATGTCATCCAGGCAGGTGACTTCAGGGCTCAAACCTCCGTGTACACAGAGGAACTGCTGATTCAGAAGCGCCGCCAGGGGCAGACAGTCAAACGCCTCCATACAGGCATCATACACTTCCTCAGAGTACTTTATCTTACCTGAAGGACACAGAAACACACCGGCTGAGCACCAAGCACTCTCAGATGCGTCACTCGGTGAAAGTGGGACACTTACACTCCTGCTTAAATGTGAAATACTCTGTGAGATGTCTGCACTCGTGGTTCCCTCTGAGGAGAAACAGCGTGTCGGGGTGGTTGATCTTCAAAGCCCACAAGTACAGCACACACTGCAGACACACACAGGAAGAGAGCGTCAGTCCTTTGCTCTAGCTTGGCCACACTGTGGCTCTAACTTTCCTACACCTCATCCAAAATACCCAGGTTACCCTGAGCTACTTTCTGCATTTATGCTTCTATAGGCCTAGACTGCTGGAGGACAT